GCGAAGGCAGAATGGCTCCAGGCCACGCTCAGGTTATTCCTGGAACCCTACGGTGCTCCATCCACGGGCCTCGCCCTTTGCCCAGAAACACCCCTGATCTATTTCGAGGCTGCACGTTGGCCGACTGCCACCTCCCCCGAGGACGGGCTCGCTTTCCTGCCTTTGGGGTGGCACAGACGATCAGCACACGTCCCTCTCCAGGGGCAAAGAACCTAGTGTGGAGAGGGACCCCGCCCCCAGCCTCCACTTCTCAAAGCCTCCCCATTCAGGGATGAGTGGAGCCAAACCTCCTGGCTCTTTTGCTAAACAGTAACGGCCTGTGAAATTCTCCTGCAGTTCACACTGTCTCCTTCACCTGCCCCCTCCTGTGCTGGGCGGAATCCTCAGTGATTTATCTGCCTCCCTTGGGTTTGCTTCTCTTATCATTGCTTAGCTCTCTTAAAAGCATTATCCCCTAATCCTCCCTGGCCTCCACTCCAGCAGACGCTTTGCGCTCCACAGAACTCTCTTTCACGCCCTGGCTTACTTTCTGACATCCCCACCTTGGCTTGTTTCTCTTGATCTGGGAGTATTTATTGCCCGACAGACCACATGCCCAAAGCTCCATAAAAATTTGGCTGGGTACAGTGCTACGCCAGGGCCAGAGAGAAAAGACCGTAGGTATGTCGGGGGTGGGAATGGAAATGAAGCACCGCACAGGGTTGGAAGCATCGATGGACAAAGCAAGACTCCAGATCTAAATGCCTCGGAGTCTTGGGGAAGCTTGGATCTGCAGCTGGTCCAAAACTGGGCCCGCGGAGAAAAACAATCCGTGAAATATGGTGCAGAGATGAAAGAGCTAACAGCACTGATGGTATCGGCAGCGTTTCAAGTTAGGTGGATTTGACTAAAGCAACCAATCCAGGCTGTTTTAAACACAAAAGGTGAACAGATCAAAACTCTAACTCCAGTGAAAACAGATGTTTCAGGCCAGCACTGAGGATGATTTAAACTAATGGGGCGTCACAAAAGTCTGCTGCTTTTACACTGGCAGAGATCTGGCTTTGTTAATTTAAGGCACAGATGGGTTAACATTTGGGGATGGTAAAAACAAGATTGTACAAAAGCTAATTGCTTCGTGGTTTTACAGTTTCATTAAATGTTAAGGGTGGGTTTAAACATGCCTTGCGGAGATACAGCAGCATCCCATCCCACAGCATACCCAGCGCCCAAGAGCGATGAAACGGAGTCGTTTGATTTAGGGATGTTAAGTTTAGATTAATCAGCTAATTAGTCAATGGATTTTTCCATGGACTAGTCGATAAGCAGGGGGAGTAGCGAGGACTGGGCATGAGCAGGCTCTGAATACATTTAAAAGGCTGAAGCGCAGCAGGGGGGACCCGGCACAAGCCGAACCAGCTGACTCCAGGAAGATCCCCCCGCTGCACACCAGCCTTACCAGTAAAAAGAGCCCGGCAGGTTCTCAATACATTTAAAAAGCAGGGGCACAGCATCTGGGACTGGGCACACGCCGGGAATCAGCTGGTTCCCCATTTGTGCCTGGTCCCCGCTACCCCTCTGCCTACCCTGACCTCTGTGGAGACAGTGCTGGGGAGAACTGGCTTTTTAATTCGGTACCCCCCAGCACCGGCCCCTGCTCCCCCCCTTGCTACTAGATGAGTCACTACTTGATTACCTGGTACTTATGCTTATTGTGTTGTGGACTAGTCGACTAGTCACTTACATCCTTAGTGGGAGTAGACTGCAAGAAGGAAACTAGGTGAAGAGTAAACAGGGGCGTGTCAGCTGCCGCCCCTAGGACAGCATTAATACTAGAGAGTGAAGAGGAGTTGTTTTAAAGTAAAATACAGAGTTTGCAAGCTGCATCCACAACTCCATGTGCCAAGCTCCAGGGCGCATCTCGCGGAGAGACAGAATGCGGCTGAGCACAGTTCTCTGGCTCCGCTCCTCGTCTCTTCCCCCTTCTGTTGCTTTATCCAGTTTGATTTCACCCGCACTCCCCCCGCTCACCTCTGCTGAAATCGGAATGGACCTTCCCCGACGCAGCTCTCACATGGCTGTGGAGCAAGGTTACTACTGCCTAGAGGTGCCTCTGTCATCTCAAAAATCAGTGTCCCTGACGTGGTTTTACCCCAAATCTCAGTTGTCTTAAAATGCCAGCTCCTGGAGCCGGGTGATTGTCCCCACTTTCATTAGCCTCCCGGTTCCTAGACCTCGTGGCAGCAGAGAAAAGCGAGAAAAAGTGACTCGTAAAGGCTCAAAAGCCAGACAGCAAATACCCTCCCTCAATGCATTATTTTTAAATCTCATGATTTTCTAGGCCTGACTCACGATTTTGGCACATGGGGCTCCTGTTTCCACTCCACCTCTCTCTGTCCAAGGTTCTCAGACCTAGCACCAGGCCCGGCCCTACCTCAGCGAAGTGCCGACGCTCCCAAAGGAAGGGGGGGAATGTGCTCCCCATCTTTTAGTCCCCCCCGAAATCAGAGTCCACCCTGGCCCCGCCGAGGGGAGCGGACACCTTGCGGGGAGCACAAGACCTCTGCCTCATTCCCACAAGAGCGCGGCCTGCCCAGCCTCCAGCCTCGCCTTGCGCGCGGCAGCTGGGCTGGGAAAGTAACGCCCGCTGGGCCCGGGGCTCTCCAGAGGCCTCAGCATTGGTGCCGTTAGCCTGTAGCTGGGCTCGGATGCAGGGCCCCAGGGCCCATTCTGGGATGTGACTCCCGCCACCCGCTCTATTCCCAGCCCTTCCTTCTCATTTCCAGACTCGCCGTCGCTTCAGCCAGATGGTCCCCCGCCCCCCGCTATCAGGCTCCACTGCCCGCCCAGAGCGGGTCTGGCTCCCGTCCCAGGCTCCATCCAGATGCCTCCCTGCGCAGGGCAGCCCGCGGAGCCTGCGTTAAGCCCGAGCTATGCGACTGCGGGCTCCATGCGTCGCGCGCCCCTCTGGCCTCTCGCCAGCCAGGTGCCCTTCCCGCCCGCTGGAGAAATCCGGCAGTTCAGAGCTCGGAGAAGGCGTTGAACCGGGGTTCAGGCTCCCCCTCCCGCTGCGCACACACGCTTGTGTTTCCTCACCAATCCCAGCCCTTCCCCCACCTCACTCTTTCTTGGCATGCTTCGTCAGGCTGCGGAGCACACCCCACGACCTGAGGCCGCAGGGACGTCAATGGAGCTGCACTCAAATCAATGGAGCTCCCTCCACGGCTTGGGGCTAGAAGCTCCCAGAAGCTATCGCTCGTGCTGCACGAGGGCCGGTGTCCCCTCTAATTTCTCCCTCCCCCGAGCAGAATGAATTTTCCTACGTGCACCAGTGCGGAGGTGACGTGCGACACAGCACCTTCAGCCAGGTGCACATAACAAAAGTCACATGATGGGAGGGGGGCTAAGGGGTTCTGAGCATGGGGGGGGGCTCAGGGCTGGGGCAGAGTATTGGGGTGCAGGGTGTGGTAGTTTGGGTGCGGGAGGCGGCTCAGGGCTGGGGCAGAGTATTGGGGTGCAGGGTGTGGTAGTTTGGGTGCGGGAGG